GCAGGGCGTTCGTCATGGTCCGCCGATAACGTTTCGCTGCCTTGACATTTGTTGTGTAGGCAAGGTACTCGCGCCACAAAGCAGAACTTGTAGGGTGACGGTTGACGCCTCGATCGTAGATGGAGAGAACACGGCCTTGCCCGGCGTGGGCAGAGTTAAGATGGCGGATCTTCATACGCTTGCATCGCTTGGTGCGTAACGACTCAAGCGATTGTTCCCAAGTTGCGTAGGATGCCCAATCGGAGGCTCTATTCCCGGGGGAAAGCACTCGGTGCTCATGATCGTTGCGCTTCTTCACAATGGTGCGAATCTCATCCTAAAAGCGTGGTTAGTCGATGACCATAAGGGTGCCTCATTCACCTCAATTCGGGTCTTTGGCGCACCGCCAGAGAGAACCAGGAAGGATATGCATACCTTGGAGAAAAGCTCCTTTTGCTCCCATTCTCGCAGTTGTGGGACGGACCTTTCAAGAAAAAATCTTGCCTTCTCTGCAACACCCGACATTGTGCTCAGTTTTGTCTCGCCTCCTGTGTGCAAGAGTGAAGGGAATGTTGGGATTGGTCTTGTTGGCGAGAGCGTTGCGCATGGCAGACGAGGCAAGATTTTCTTTATCGAAGGCCGCTCTCTGGAAAAATTTAGTGGAGATGCGATGGAGTAGCTCCAGGTACCAGCCACAGCCCAGCGGTGTCCAACCCAGCGGTGTTCAGCCACACTTTGCGGTGTTCAGCCACAGATCACCAGCGTTTATACGCCATTAACACGTAAGGCGCTTCTTTAAATTCTGGCCCCTGTTTGGCCCCTGTCGGTGACTCCACTATAGCCATGGCGCCCCGTTTTGCGCGAATCATGGCGCGTCAAAGCTCCTGAAGGAACGTGACAGAGCTCCGAGGCTTCCAGCGATTATTTGTCTGTCTGCTCCCTTCGTCACCCCTCCATCACACTTCTCTCTGTAAACAACTGCTCCCTTTCAATGGGATTGCTTCCTGTTGTTGGCGTTCTTGTCTTTCTTTAATTTGTGACGAGTTGTGTTCGTTCTTTCATTGCCGTCATCATGGCGTCTAAATACAAGGACAAGGATGCCGGCATTGCCCTGTCGTTCAGCGGCGTCTGGGTAAGCTGGGCGCATACCATTCTGGCAGCCAGTACGTCTTACGACCAGCTATGTTTTCTTTTCGCCTGCTTTACTAACAATGAATACTCTCTAGGCGCATTCATTAGTGCTTTCGTTGTTGGCGTGTCCCTTCATTACCACAAGATTGTCCAGAATGAGTTCTACGGATACCCAGACGAATGGTTCCCTTCGGTTTCCGCGACCATCGGCGATCGGTACCCCGAACGATCATTCTTCATGATCTTCATTGCCATCACTTCTGGTATGTTGTACTTCGGATCTGGTTCCGGCGCTTTTCTGACATCGATTGCGATTTTTAGGCCCTCGCTTTGCGCTCGTTGGATTGTGGTACCTGTTATCCCGAAAACCTGGTCACAAGCTCCCCGGTTTTGTTGCTGCCATGGGTGTTCTCCGCACTCTGACATGCGGAGGATGGACTTACATCACCTCGACCGACGACCACGACTGGCACGATATTCTCATGATCTCATACATCGTCGCCACTCTCCCTTGGACAACTGGTTGCATTGCCCTTAGCCCGGCGAACCCAACCGCGATCAAGTACCGAAAGTACCTTGCTGGTACTTTCTTTGGCACTCTCGTCCCCTTGATCTACTTCTTTATTCAGCACAAGGTCCACCGCGTTGCTGGTGGTAAGTTTTCTTTCCTCGTACAGCTCAGATAGTGTGATTATCGACCTGGCTAACCAATTCCAACTAGCATACACCACTTATGCATTCTTCGAATGGGCATTGATTGTTCTCGATGTAGCTTTCGATGCCGTGACTGCTCTCGATTTCGGGACTTTTGAGATTTCCATCAAGGACGTCAAGGGGTCCAGCAAGGGGTATGTGCAATGGCTCCCCAGATAGCTCTCCCTCGTTAGCCGCATTTGTGACCGAAATAAACATCTTCTTGATTGGGCCATATTCTAAGCGTGTAGCAGTGACAACAGTTCCACGGTTTCCTCGGCCGTACTGGAAAAAGAGTAAGTTAGATATCCTAATTGTGTATTTACCGGCGTTAACTGGCTTTCCAGGAAGGAGAAATACGGCACAGGGATTTACTCTGGTCGATTTACCTGGGCGGAGGTGTTTGACACTGCTGCAGATATTTACCATGGGGTAAGGGTGGCCCCTGCAGCCCTATCAGGAACCAGCGCTGACGGTGTTGCAGTTTGTGTTTTGGACTACTTTGACCAGTCTCGGACTTGTTGTTTGGTGTAAGGCCGATAAAAATGTCCCGGAATAATATATATGGTTATACGCTAACATGAGCAGTCTTTCCTCTTTGGTACATGGGTATTTCAGGATTTGAGGCATTCGTCATGTCCACCATCTCCCCCCTGTTCTTCGGCATTGGACCCCTGCGATCCGTCTTTATTCAGAATCAGCGTGTTATTCACCTTCTCTCCCTGGCCGGCATTGCCTCTTATCTGGTCACTGATCCAACGATGCGCCTTTGTACCTTGGGTTTCGGTGTGGCTATGTCTTGTTTGGGTTGGGTTGCAACATTTGCAGCAGAATCTGCTCATGATGTTCGCTTTGAGTCTAAGATCTTGGGTCTTATCGTTGGCCTCATCCTGTCTTCCACTGCCAAATTTCTTTGGCATACAAACAACCCGATTTGGCCCATCATGCACGCTGAGAACGGTGGATGGAACGGCACCGGTCTTGTTCTGGGTATCCTCGCAGTGCTTCGTTTCACCCGAAAGGCACCTATAACGGGTGGTTATGTCTCCGACAGTAACCAGCAAAAGGGTTCTGCATTGCTCGCTGCTTGTGGTATTGGTGGTCTTTTCTTCGGCCTTCATTCCCTTCTCTCTGACACTAGCACCATGATCCTGTGGGTGTGGGAGGGATTCCCTATCCGTGGCCCGTACTTTTCTACGCACGGTTGGTTCACCCTCGCCGCCATGTCGGCTGGAATTTTTGCTGGGCTTCTGCGACCCGGCGAGGCAGGTGGCTGGGTGCATTATCTCATCGGTACTGCGGGAGCTATGACTTTGACTTTCTATAGCCATTGGGTTGGCTACTATGGCGCTTTGGCTCTGACTGTCTATCTCACCTCCGTCAGTGTGCCCTTGATCCAGGCTGCGACCAAGAAAAGCCCGGCTATCAGCTTTGGTATTGGCTTTCTCATTTACAATTTCATGGTTCTGTTCCACGTGTGGGTCGTTGCTTACGCCTTTGTCCCTGGTGGTCCTCTGGTCCGTGAGCACACTGACTGGGTCATGATAACTATGATGGTTCTGCTTGGTGTGGGTGTCTACAACTTCAACAACTCTCAGCCCCGCCGCCAACAGGCCAAGCGTCCATCTGCCTCTCAGCATAAGAAGTACTTTGGCGTTGGCACTCTGTTCATCAATATCGTCTTTCTTTGTGGCGCGTTCATGCGCTTCCCCACAAACGATTATAAACCTTACCATCCCGAGGATCGAGTCCTTACTGCTGGTATCTGGACCATTCACTTCTCCGTTGACAATGACATGTGGTCTTCCGAGTACCGCATGCGCGATCTAATCAAGGAGGCTGAACTTGACGTGGTTGGACTGCTTGAGACAGACCAGCAGCGCATCATCATGGGCAACCGAGACAGCTCTCAGTTCCTTGCTGAGGATCTCGGTATGTATGTCGACTATGGTCCGGGCCCTAACAAGCACACATGGGGCGCCGTCCTTCTCTCCAAGTTCCCCATTGTCGAGTCCAAGCATCACCTCTTGCCCAGCCCAGTAGGCGAGCTTGCCCCGGCCATCCACGCTACCCTTGATGTCTACGGCCAATTGGTCGACGTTTTTGTCTTCCACTCTGGCCAAGAGGAGGACCCTGAGGATCGCCGCCTTCAGTCCCTCTACCTGGCTGACCTCATGGGCTCATCCCCGCGTCCTTCTATCCTTCTCAGTTACCTCGTTACCAAGCCTCTCGAGGGCAACTACAACACCTACGTCAGCGACAAGTCGGGTATGCACGACGTTGACCCGACAGACTGGGACCGCTGGTGCGAATACATCCTGTTCAAGGGCCTCAAGCGTGTGGGTTACGCTCGCGTGAGCCGCAGCACCATCACCGACACCGAGCTGCAGGTCGCCAAGTTTGTGATCCCGCAGAGCGACGTCGAGATCACGCAGCAGAAGAGCCTCAGTGCGGAGGAGAGAAACCGCCGCGTCGAGGAGCACGAGGTACCCGAGGGATGGAAGTTCCCTGCCATATTCAGGGGCGAGGGTGTCAGAGGCCATAGATATCACGTCTTTAACGAGCCTAGATACTATAATTAGAGGTCTAGATCATGAATATATGCATCAGACGTTTGTAAGAGGTGGATGCGAGATGAGGGTTTGGGGAGGATGAGTTCCTATACGTAAATACCTGTTAGGGTTGCAACGTAATTCATATAGTGGTAATACATGATCTTTTTAACGTCCGAATTTGAACAGACTTGCTCAACGCTTCTCAAGTCCTTTCCCACTGCTAGTGGCTATTACGTCTGAGATTTTGATAACGAACAATCCCGCTTGTAGTTTAAGCAGGTACTGATATCAAGGTCTAAATCAATAACAATGAAAGGTAGTATATTAAGCCACAGCTTACTCTCGTATATAGTCTTACCCGCGGCGAAGGTGGCTGCATGCATGCATGCCTTGCTTTTGATTTGCGGATGCCCTCTTCAGCTGTCAGCTACCCCGCCCGACATCACCTTTCCATGGTAGGTGCCTAATATCATCTGCCTCATCACCATTTCCTCCCGGTTCATCGTTATTCGGATGCCATTTCTGAAATATATCAGACAGGTATGTTACTCTTGATGATCCATGTTTATAAACTCAGCCATTTCGGTCAGCGGCAGCTGATTCAGACAGAGCACCCTACGCAAACAGTTTTGACGCCCGACGATGGCGAACACGTACACGGTTGGTTGGATTTGTGCCGTTGTAATAGAATATGTTGCGGCTCGAGCTCTTTTGGATAAGATTCACGACGGACCGCACACCCGAGCCCCAAATGACGACAATGCCTACACCTTGGGAGAGATAGGAAACCACAAAGTTGTCATCGCCGTGCTGCCAGACGGAGAATATGGAACGTCTTCTGCCGCCAGCGTTGCCAAAGACATGCTTCGCACTTTCACGAACATTAGAATCGCCTTAATGGTAGGAATCGGCGGTGGAGCCCCGAGCGCAGCAAATGATATCCGTCTTGGTGACATAGTCGTCAGCTCCCCGAGAAATCAGAAAGGTGGTGTAATCCAGTACGACTTTGGGAAGGCGATCCAAGGCCAAGGATTTTGTCGAACAGGCTTCTTGAACCAGCCTCCTACCCTAGTACGAGCGGCAGTCACCGCGCTCAGAGCAGAGTATATTAGTGATGGTCACGGTCTTCAGGACGTTATTGGCTCAGTCCTCGAGAAGAAACCAAGACTTAGAAAATCATACGCCCGACCCGACCCAACTTCTGACGTACTATATGGTCCTGCATATCTTCATCACGACGGAACATGCTGCACAGCGGATGATGCCAATGATGAATCCAAGGTCATCGTTAGGCGGCCCAGAGAGGAAGACGACGATACCTTGGTTATCCACTACGGCCTTATAGCTTCAGGCAATACATTGATGAAGGATGCTTCAATCAGAGATCAAATCGCGGCTGAGACTGGTGTTCTGTGCTTTGAAATGGAGGCAGCAGGGCTGATGAACCAGTACCCATTCCTTGTTATTCGTGGTATATGTGACTACTCTGATACACACAAGAACAAATCGTGGCAGGGTTACGCGGCAATGGCGGCGGCGGCATACGCAAAAGCATTGTTATGTCGTATCGCTGCTAGCGAGGTAGATGATGAGGAGAGAATCTCAGCAATGGGTTAGATTACCTAGTGTCTTCTTAATACTACGCTTTGCTGATTATAATAGTGCTGGAATATATCTCCAGAGCCGAAAAAAACATACAGAAACTGACAGCCACTGCCCATCGAAAAGAAGTTGAAGATATCCTTGAGTGGTTAACACCGATGAACTATGGGCCACTCCAGAGCGACATCATTAAACTTCGACAACCCGGAACTGGTCAGTGGTTTCTTGATACCGAAGAGTACCGGATATGGGCGAGCGGCAATGGTCGCACATTATATTGTCCAGGCATGCCTGGAGCAGGAAAGACAATGATTGCCTCCATAGTAGTTGACGACATCCTGCGTGTACACCGGGATGATCCTACCCTGGGCATTGCCTTCATATTCTGCAACTTTCAGCGCAACGAGCAACAAACAACAGAGATGCTATTGTGTAGTCTTCTCAAACAGCTGGTGGGATTGCTTCCCACACCTCCCCAGCAGCTGGATGATCTTTACGACACCCATCGAAAGTTAAGGACAAGGCCCTCAGTGCCAGAGCTATCTAAACTGGTTCAGATTGTACTAGGAAGCTTCTCTCGTGCCTTTGTCATTGTTGACGCTTTGGATGAATGCCAGAATTCTGATGCCTCTCGCGATCGATTCTTGAATGCATTCTTTGATATGCAGGCCTCGACAGGGGTCAACATTTTCTTAACATCTCGTACCATTCCAGAAATTGAAAACATGTTGCGTGAAGAGAGAGGCGCTTTAAAGCTCGAGATTGTTGCTGAACAAGATGACATGAAGAAATATATACGTGGGCGCATGTCAGAATTGCCGGAATTCATCAGAAACGACCTGACCTTACGACAAGAAATTATTATGGGGATTTCTTCGTCTGCGAAGGGAATGTATGTTCTGATATTCAGTTGATTTCTTCCAACATTGGCTTACTCTGGCTAGGTTCCTTCTCGCAAAACTTCAGCTTGACTCGCTCAAGGAGACGACATCGATTAGAGAAGTCCGCTCGTCCATAGAACGCACATCTTCAAAAGAATTAGGAGTTTATAACAGCGCGTACGAGGACGCTCTACAGAGGATCGAAAACCAGTCCCCTCAGAAGTCAGATTTGGCAAAGCGAGTCGTTTTATGGATCACGCACTCACTAAGGCAGCTTTCAGAGACTGAGCTACGATATGCTCTATCAGTGAGACCAGGCAGTCTTTCCTTTGACAACGATGACCTAGTGCAGATCGACTTCATTTCCATCTGTGCCGGGCTGGTGGTGGTGGATGTGAACAGTAGCGTTATACGTCTTGTTCATCCAACCGCCCATGGATTTTTCAAACGAACGGTAGCAAGCCACTTCAGCCAAGGGCACAACATTCTCGCGGATGCATGCATTACATATCTTTCGTATGAGGACTTTGAAGATGGACTACCGCCTGACAACGCCAGCTATCAGACATGGTTACAGTCAAACCCACTATATATGTACGCCGCGACAGCATGGGGGTCTCATGTTCTACTGTTAAAGAATCAGACCCGGGAAACACTTAGCTCTACTGAAGAGAGGGCATTACGGTTCCTTAGAAATCGGAAACTGGTTGAATCTGCCGGTCACACACTCATGATACACGCTTATTCAAGGCCGGATGATTATACACAACTTATTAATGCACCTAAAAGGCCGAACGCATTTCACATCGTGGGATATTTCGGGGTTGAGAAGCTGCTATCTGAACTATCTAAACACTATACAACCCAGAAAATAAATGCCGATGGCGAGGCAGGAATTAAGCCAGGTCTGGTTCATAGACCCCAACCTCTGGAAGTTATTGACCAACTTGGCCGAACGCCGCTCTTCTGGGCATCCATCGAGAACAGGGAGGGCGCCATGCGACTTCTTGTCGGATTAGGGGCATCACTGGAAGCTGCTGATAACGATGGCTATACTCCGCTCATGTTTGCAACGCAAAGTCAACGGCATGATACTATCAGGCTTCTTGTTGAGCTCGGAGCCTCTCTGGAAGCTGTCGATAAAGAAGGTACTACTCCGCTCATATTTGCAACGCTAAACGATTGGCATGATACTATAAGGCTTCTTGTTGGACTAGGGGCCTCAGTAGAGGCTGCTGATAAAAAAGGCCTTACTCCGTTCAAAATTGCATCGCTAAACCAACGGCATGATACTATGAGGCTTCTTGTTGGACTAGGGGCCTCAGTGGAGGCTGCTTTTGACGATGGCTTCACTCTGCTCATGATTGCAACGCTAAACGAACAACATGATACTGTAAGGGTTCTCGTGGAGCTCGGGGCTTCAATTGATAGTCCTTGTAAACGCGGTGAGACGGCCCTTCATTACGCGGCATTTACAGGTCAAGAAACCATGGTACGGCTTCTTGTTGACCAGGGTGCTTCAATTGACGTTCGTGATGGAGAGGGAAAGACCCCGATTGAGTGTGTAAGAGAAAAGGACAACGAGGCTATCGTGCAACTGCTCACTAGGTAGCTCGCGTCCCTCTTGTCCTTCTCGTGGGAATAGGCGTTGCACATGGTCGTAAGAACCACATTCTCAAATCTCTACTGCGTTGGTCAAGATCAATAACGCCACGGCATACTGGCTCCGTCTCGGCATTCTCGGTTCGCGTCCTCCTGTTGCTGCAATTGAGCGACATTATTACAAAGCAACGAGACTGATTCGACACCAAAGAATTGGGACGAGCCCACTCGATTCCGCCATCCGTTGGACTTCTCTTTCCGCGACCCCTGGCCATGCAAGTTGAGATCCATGATCCCCCACGGCAGCATCGGAGGGAGGTAGATTTTGATGGGATCGGAGAGAGACCAGATCTGGATCGTGGAACATGATTCGCTAGCCTCGATTCTCCGCGCGGAGTAAGCGGAGAGAAATGGGGCCTCTTACCCCGGATCTAACCGCATTTACCCCAGAAGGACCGGCCTGTAGTGGATCCTTTTGCGTCTTTGCCGTGCGAAACCGATATCTCCAACTCTAACGGCTCTAGATCGCGGAGTAGAGCAGTGTGAGATTACTGTTGCGGAACGTCACGTTGCTTGTTTAACCTCAGACGGGGAAACTTTGAGCTAGGAGTGGATGTAAATGAGGATGACGCCTTGGGAAGCACTTAAGGGATGGGAGCGGCTGACATTCCAAATCTGCTTTGTTCCTGTCCCTTCTCTCTTTATCTTATTACGCCTTTCTCACCCTTTCCTACTGCCATAAATCACTGGTAATCACACACAGGCGAGTGCTTTGCCTTCTGGCTATCCTCTAGTCTGATCCGTAATTTATTGGGCTTCATATCTACGCTTCGCTACTTCCAATGGCACTTCACGTCCTGTCCCTGCTGGGGGTCGTGCTTGGTGCGGGAGTCGTTTACGTATGAAACTCCCGAGCTGCTTTACCTCCGAGTACAATTCTTGGAAACTAACACAGAGGAATAGTCCCTTACCCTCGCCATCTACAGAATATTCTTCCACCCTCTCTCTAAATACCCTGGCCCACTGATTGCCAAACTCACGGATGGATATCAGCTCTATCACGCATACCGGGGAGACCGGCATCTTGAATTCTGGCGCCTACATGAGAAATATGGCCCCATTGTGCGCTTTGGCCCCAATTCCATAACTTTCAAGTCCAACACCGCCCTCAAGGACATCTATGGTTTCAAGTCAAACGTCCGCAAGGCTGAGTTCTACAATGCCTTTGCCCATCCCGTTGCCAACACGCACAACACACGGGACAAGGCGGTGCATTCCCGCAAGCGCCGGGTTATGAGCCAGGCATTCAGTGATAGTGCCATGAAGGGCATGGAGAGGTTTATCCTCGCCAACATCAGAGCCTTCTGCGAGCAGGTTGGCTCCCTCGGCGATGCGAGTGCCGATAGCAAAGGATGGACCGTCCCCAGGAACATGAGCCACTGGTGCAACTACCTGGCCATGGATATCCTTGGTGACTTGTGCTACGGAAAGGCGTTTCACATGGTCGAGAGTCCTGTTAACCGGTTCGCGCTGGACTTGGTTGAAGCTGCTACTACCCGTCACTTGATTGTAAGCCATCCGTTGAATAACTGAGTGGAGAAAAGCAGAGACTAATGCGGATAACAATAGTGTGGAACGATGCCAATCATCAACACTCTCAAGATTGACAAGTTCCTGTTCCCCCACATTGCCGCTGGGCGTGCCAAGTACATGGCCTACAGCAAGAGTCAACTCACGGAGCGAACCAAGATGGGAGAGGATTCGGATCGAAGGGACTTCTTCTATTACCTCCTCAAGGCCCGCGATCCTGAAACCGGCCAGGGCTTCAGCACACCTGAGCTTTGGGCCGAGTCGAATCTTCTGTAAGTCCTTTTAAAGAGCAAATATCTAAACTCGCCTTCTTTAATGGCTTTTGGCTGACCACCAACACCCTTAGTATTATCGCAGGATCAGATACAACCTCTACTGCCATGGCCGCTACTCTCTTCTATCTTACCCGTAACGAGCATGCACTGCGCAAGGTTGTCGAGGAGGTCCGCACCAAGTTCAACGATGTCGAGGAAATTGTCCAGGGCCAGGCCCTCACCTCTTGCACCTACCTCCGAGCCTGCATCGATGAGGCCATGCGTCTCTCTCCCTCCGTCGGTGGCATCGTCCCTCGCGAGGTCCTCCCCGGCGGCATCACCATCGACGGCCATGTCATCCCAGAGGGTGTCGTCGTCGGCGTCCCCCACTACACAATCCACCACAATCCTGACTACTACCCCTCGCCATTCCGCTTCAACCCGGAGCGCTGGATCGTCGACGCCAATAGTGTCGTGGACGGAGTCAAGACGACGGAGGCTGATGTCCACCGGGCCCAGAGCGCGTTCTGCCCCTTTAGCGTCGGTCCCCGTGGCTGCATTGGCAAGGGCCTTGCGTACCATGAGATGACGACTACCCTGGCGAGAACTATCTACACATTTGACATTAGGAAGGCCGTTGGGGTGAAGGATCCTGGCGAGGGAAGCCCTCGACTAGAGTACGGAAGGCATCGTGAGTCTGAGTATCAACTTGTCGATATCTTCACGAGTGGTAAGAATGGGCCCATGGTGGAGTTTAGGAAAGCTGAAAAGGCGTAGAGGGAAGTGACAAAGACTGGTCAATGTGCTGAAATGGGCATTGGGGAGATTGCCGATTGGGGTGGAAGATATTAGGAACGTATAGCTATGTACATACTCATGAGATGGCACCCAAATTTGAATGCGTATATGATTATGATATTGGTTATAATTTCGAAATGATACAGCTCGGGTCTCAAGAGTCCGTCATAACTTAGTGACAGCCGAACTAATCAAATGTCCCGTTCTGCAGTGTGTAGCTTGTGATGGATGTTTCGACAGAGGTCGACATGAAAACGCGGGGTCGGGGTAAAAGCAACCGTGTGATGACCCGACCCCCGCGTTCCCCTTGAAAGGTGACGCAACGCTTGATCTTCATCTTCCCGTAAGAGTGGATCTTGAGGTTCCGGCTAAGTTCTGGAGAGGGCAGATAAAGCTCGCGGATTGTTGCGCTTAATTGAAGGGCATGTCATTGGGGTATCACAAGCCGACGAGGTTCCATTGACACCCATAATCTCCTGACTCTATTCTCGGCTCTAGAAAGTTCCAATTCTCTCATTGGGTAGACGGTCTAGCTGAATGTGATATCCGCAGCGCAGGAAGGTGGATAGTACAATGCTCGGCAGAGAGGGGAAAGGATGAGTTTCAGACGAGCACCAATGATTGCCAAGGAGATGGGTATAAAATGCTGAGATGGCCTACTAGAAGAGCAAAACAGTAGCGACCCAGAGAAAGAACGGATCACAGCCGTCAACAGACAACTCGCTATGTTTTTTCTTCATCGTTCCGCGGCGCTGGCCGCATTGTTTGCCAGCATGGTCACTGCCTTTCCCAACTTACCTTTTGTTGTGGATGGCCCTAAGATGGTTGACACGACGGGAGCTTCCGTCAAATTTGCTGGAACCAACTGGCCAGGTCACGGAGAAGTTATGATCCCCGAGGGATTGCAGTACCAATCCATCGAGAAAATTGTTGCCGACATCAAGAGCCTTGGAATGAACGCCGTTCGTCTGACCTATGCCATTGAAATGATTGACCAGATCTATGCCAATGACGGAGAAGACATTGATATCAAGACAGCATTCACTGCTGGTTTGGGCGCGAGCAATGGGACTGTGGCGCTGAACAGGGTACTGGCAAATAATCCGCAGTTCACGGAGAGCACAACGAGACTTGAGGTTGGTTTTGTCCGCTGAAGAGTTCCGGGAAGTCATTTCACTGACTGATATGTCGATAAATTAGGTCTATGACGCTGTTACAAAGGAGCTTGCCAAGAACGAGATTTATATCAATCTTGACAACCATATGTCCAGCGGCAAATGGTGCTGTTCTGGGGATGACGGCAACACCTGGTGGGGAGACACATATTTTGATGCAGACAACTGGGTTCGAGGCCTTTCCTACATGGCTAATCATGTTAGTACATCAATTGCACCCAGCAGAAATGTACAATGTCCCTTTTGTACTAACACACCTTATAGGGGTTGTCTTGGAGCAACTTGGCGTCCATGTCCCTTCGCAACGAATTCCGGCAGCCAACAAACAATGAAGCTGTTAAGGCCACATACAACTGGGAGACGTGGTACAAGTATATTCGTGAGGGCGCAGCCGCCGTTCATGCAGCTAACCCAGACGTCCTGGTTATCCTTTCTGGTCTGAACTACGACACCACCATGCAGCCTGTTGTCAGGGGGCAAGCTCTCTCCCCGGGAACTGGCACATTTAGCTTTGATGACTTTCCCGGGTTCAAGAACAAGCTGGTCATTGAGCTTCACAACTACGACAGAAGTGCATCGTCTTGCTCTGCTCTCTCAGGCTCCCTCTACAACGGCGGAGCGCAGGCCATGAACCCTGACGAGGCAAGCACCGTGAACGTCTTCCCGGTCTTGGTGACTGAGTTTGGGTTCCCGCAGGACGGAAGCTCTTGGCAGACAGTCTATGTGACGTGTTTGGCCGAATGGATGCCCAACAACACGGCCGGGTGGTTCCAGTGGGTTGTGGTCGGCAGCTACATGATCCGATCGGGCGTGCAGGACTATGACGAGTCGTGGGGGCTGTACAACCATGACTGGTCGGCGTGGAGGGATAGTGCGTACATCAACAACGTGCTTATCCCATCTGTGGAAGCAACGGTTGGAGGTGCGTGATGGGCGGATTTGAGTGTTGTTCCTGCAAAAAAGCTAGTGATAGATGAACGTCAGGATTATATCGGTGTGGTGGCACCTCCTGTCGATAGCTTTGAGCGGCTGTATCCACATTCTGTCCAATAAATAAATAAATCATTGTGAAGAGCCATGGACTAAGGAGGTTGGTTATAAGTCAGGTCACGGCCCAGCCATTCATTTGGTGCCTGTTCGGGGTGCATGATGCGCCCCACCCCGATAAGATTAGAGGTTCCGAGTTTTGAGCT